CTCTCTCTACACACACACACACACACACATATATATATATATATATAGAGAGAGAGAGATAGAGAGATAGATAGATAGATAGATAGATAGATAGATAGATATCATATCTTTCTCAATCGTCGTAAATCGATCTTATATACATGCAAAATACCTTGTATAATATAAATATAATGTCTGATAAAACTTTAGTCGTATTTTGCGGAAATCCTAAGAATTCACGATTGTCGCTACATGTGGCTAGATGTCGAAATGAAAAGCGGCGTAAAGGTTCACTTCAAAAATAAGTAACCGTTTTGTTTTTGGTTCGATAGCATTATTTGTAATTAGCTTTCTATCTTGCCATTCCAAAAGATGGCATTTCATTTTATTCTTAATACTTATATCAGCGCTTATTTTGAAAAGATAAAAAAAAAGTCTTTTAATCATTTTCATATCAGATGCTACTTTACCAGACTGCCTCTTAATCATTGTCTGTAATCCCTTGATTTTTAGCATTTATATCGGAACTAACGTTACCGATTTTACTTTTTTTTAATCGACCTTTTTTCGCTCTAATTTTACACTTGACCATGAATTGAAGAAAAGACAAAATTATCGGTTTATTTGTGGTAAAAAAATGGAAGGATTTTGTATGGAATTGTTTTATGGTTGAATCGACAATTTTCAGACTTGTGTATCTTCAGATGAACACATTTAACTCTCTCTCTCTCTCTTATTGTCTCACTCTCTCTTTTTGTGTCTCTCTACCGATCTATCTCAGCTATCTATCTCGGCATTAACCCCCCCTCTCTTTCTCTACACATAAACACACACACGCCTACACAGAGACACACGCACACGCGCGCGCGCACATATATATCAGTCTGTCCATTTATCTCAAGCACGCTCGCTCTTTAGCAATCAGTCTATCTATCTATCTATCTATCTATCTATCTATCTATCTATCTCAGTCACCTCACATCTACCTATCTGTCTATTTATCTATCTATCGCAGTCTGTTCATATCTATCTATCTATCTATCTATCTATCTATCTATCTATCTATCTATCTATCTATCTATCTCTTCACATCTATCTGTCTATCTTAGTCTAGCCATTCACCCCCTCTCTCTCTCTCTATATATATATATATATATATGTGTGTGTGTGTGTGTGTGTGTGTGTGTGTGTGCGTGTATTAGTCTAGGCATTTATCTCTCGAT